ATTCCCCAATATATATATATTGTGAATATATATTTAATTAAATAATTTCACATTAGTTTGTGTATATACGAATTTCATTTTTAAGGTTAATTTGTGATTTAAAATATTAATAATAATAATAAAGTAGTTTTATTTATATTGTAAGCAAGTTTGCATATAAAATAATTGTTTATGCACTCATAGTTTTGTAACTTGCTTAATTCATTTAGTTTAATAAATAGTCACAGTCTTTCACAAAAATATTTTATTATTTCAAACTTATAAGTACTTATAGTTTACATTAGATTATGACAGCTTAGGCCAGTCTATCGTACTGTACATTGCATTGAATGTTCACACATTCACACCACTCGCCTAACTGTCCCTCTCAATGACATAATCTGTTTATTTTATGTCTTATGCTAACAAAGAAACTTCTAGAAAAGTCTAGAAAAGTCTAGAAGTTTGAGGAGAGGGGACTGGTATGCAATAACCATTAATTACATTTTACATATTAGCTTTTTCACACATTGCCACAATATACTTTTTATTTTATTATTCAGTTGCAATACTTTCTCACCAAATTATTAAATACAAATGTTTATATGAAATGCTATAAATGTAATTGATATGTTAATTCATGACTAATACTTAGGGCTGCCACCCGTCCTACTTTTGGAGGATTGTCCTCCAATCGGCCCCTCAATGTAATGTCCTACCAGAGATATTTGCCAAAATAATTCAAATATTAATTTGATTTTTAGTTAAATTTGTAAATATAGTTAATATTACTTTTGTTGTGAAATAAAATATTTATATAAACTGCGAGACCATTGTTCGCAGGACAATATCAAGTGTTTTACAAACATTAAACAATAGTTTCTTATATTATTGTGAGTACTGGATACAAAATTATTATAAATAAATATTTTTTGTACTCCCAATGTCCCACTGACCTGCCTCAATTTTGGAAATTTGTCCTCCAGGGCACTGAAAATAGGTGGGAGCCTATATATATTTATTTAATACTTAGTCATTGTATTTAATACCTAGTCATTGTTAATATTTAATAATTAATATTTATTGTATTTAATACTTTATTTAATAATTAGTCACTATACGGTATAACTAGCTTATATAATGTCATGCACTGTCTCTAATCAAACACTTATGTAATAGACTTTAATGAATAACTTTTAAAAGTTATAAATAAAGTCTATGTTATAAAGTAATCAACAATTTATTATTGTCGTTCACGTAGATATAAGCTCCAATTTATTAAAGTAATATTTTAACTATTTAACTTTTATTTCCGAATAATTTAAAAATTAATCACTTTAAAATAAAAACTTTAAAATATTTTGATTCTTTGTAGTTAGCTATAATGTCTGGCGGTAACCATTGGGACCCCGTGAGGGACTACGTGGACAAGTACCGTCCCAATGTGGTTGGCCAAGTTTACGATGGTGTTGACCAGGCTGGTCAATTGGTCCAGAGAGGCTTGAAACAATTGGATAGAGTGTCACCAGCGGTGGGAACGGCTGCTCGAGTAGGCGTAAAATTTGTCGAAGAAAAGTTGCCAAGCTTACAGGATAATCGTCCACGTAAAAATTAGCCATGGTCAATGTAAGATGTAAGGCGTGAGAAAATGTGTCCCGTCAAATAATCGGAAAAATGATATTTGTTATTCTATTTTTTGAAAGTAACAATGCTAAATGTGGATATTTTTCGAACAAAATTAAATAAATGAAATTTAAAAAATATTGTGCAATCAACTAGATTTATTTGGAGTTGAATTTATAATATTAATATATCATATATCATTAAGTTATTAAATTTAATATAGTTAACATTTTTTTGAAAACTAGTAAATTTATAAAATATAAATTAACCTAGTGTTTAAAAATTATATATATATTAAATAATTTCACATTAACTTGGGTATATACGGATTTCATTATAAAGGTTAATTTGTATTTTAAAATATAAACATTAATAATAAAATAGTTTTATTACCGTATTCCCGCGCAAACACCGGCATGCCGTTATAAAGTGAGGGAAAATAAATAGAGTCCAAAAAATATTTTTATTGAAAAAATTCGAAATTAATAGATTTAATTTATAAAAATAAATAATTAATTGTTTAATCAGTTATTTCTGTCACATCTTCGACGTCGTCGTCCTCTTCATCATCAGTAAGTCCTGAATGTTCCGAGTCTTCAATTGTATTATTGGTTTCAATGAGTGATTGAAGTTTTGAATGTAGATTATTGTGTAGTCTGTTTTTATTAAAACCACAACCAATAAATGAAGTTTTAATTAAATCTTCAGTAATTTTTTGTTAATACATTTTTATAGCTACAACATTTGTATTAGTAAACATACTTGCGCTTGAAGTTTATGCAATTTTGATGTATCAGGCTCATCCATTGGGGATAACTTTTTATACATTGACTTGTGTTATGAATTTAATCAAAGAGTTTTAAATAATTTTTATTTGTATAATTAATTAACTTAATTTTAAAATTACAATTTTTAGTTACTTGTAATGTTTTATATAAATATTACGATTGAAAATAAATATTTGTCAGTTATATTTTTGTTTAGTGGGCTAATATTAAAACGTTATATTAGTAATATACAGTATTTCATGTTTATCTAATCAGTTTAAAGTAAATTATTTTTAATGTAAACATTTTATTGGATAATAAAATAGTTTATTATGACTTCAGAAAACTGAGATAATTTTTAATATATAAATATAATATTTATACAGTATAATCTATAAACATATTATAATATGAATTTCATGGTAATTTTCAAGTTATTTTACTATTATTAAAAGCCTATTTATTTTTGTTTAATTAGTTTTTCTATTTTTAAAAAATATATAATACTATTTTTAACATATTTATTTATTAAACATATACATAACAATTAAAATAAATGTAATAAATGTGGAAACTATTAATATGAATAAAATACTTTTGTGAGTTATATATCGGTTATAATTGTGGCAAGATGATTTATGGTCAGAATATTTATGTTTATGATTGCTTGTATTCATTATAGCAAATAAGCGTTTATTCACGCGTTTCACTACTCCATCTACCTGGGTACAAACGATTTATAAATATAATAATACCGTATATTAACACAATTTAATTTTATTTATAAATACCTGAGCGGGTCTACTATAATCATCCAACCGGTGACATTTAATTATATTTACCATTTCATCAATCTTTTGAATTAAATTTAAAATTTAAAATTATTTAATTCAAAATAATATTTCATACCTGATTTTTGGTTCTCAATAATTGTGCTGGCTTAATGTTTGAATTAATGTTTGACATTTTCTTATAATAATTAAATAGAGGTTTATAATATGAGAAACTATTTAATGTCAATTAAATTACATAATTATTATAGTAATTTAATAGTAAAAGGGTATTAATTTCAACATGTATAAACATAGGGCTAGCATGTAAACAGACTTTTATATTGAGATAAAGTGGATATTTTTGTAAATACATTATATAAGCAAAAATTATTTTATAAATATTACACTTACTTTTAGTTCATATTACAATTTATGGTAAGACTTTTTTAAATGCAATCAATATATAATATCAAGTTATAATATTTTATTAAAAATTATTGATTTCATATAAAAATATTTTTGTTTCATATTTTAATAGACTATTGTGCAAGGCTATTAAAAATAAAATAAATACATTAAATTTTAACTTATACTCTAGTAGCATACAAACTGACCAACTATACACTATTGGGGTGTACAGTACACTATTTAGTGTATTTGTCCAATGTGTTTTAATAAGCAAATAGTGTACGTTGAATGCACACTATTTGTGATAATATCTAAATATATATAATTTATTAGTAAAAAAAACTTTTACAGAAACTGAAACCATTCATTTACTATTAAAAAAATATATGCTTCTAAAGTTTGACCTAACAAAATAAACAATATTCGAGTTGATAGTAAATTAGATAGTACCCTTTATTTACTTATATTACAAGTTATTAACTAAAACGATTAATAAAGAAATTTATAATAAAATTTTAAAAATGAAGTTTTGGTTATTGCTATACGGCAGTGGTAAAACAAAATTACCAAGTTATTCTACAACAGGGTCCGCTTGGTAATCTCAATGGCAATGAAAATAATTTGATTTATATAAACAATATTACCAGGTATATAATTATTATTAAGAATGGGTAGTTTTTAAAAAGTTATAATTAATTGATTTCTAAAAAATTTATATTATCATTTCCCGCAGCTTCATTCGCCAATTTATATATTAAATTAAATGAATATTTTAAACTTATTATAAAATCTTATTTACAGTTTGACTGCACATACGCTGAGCAACAATCCATTCAGAATAAATAAGTTAGTTTTAAGACCATTTTTTCATATTTTAATTTTATTTACTTAACTATATATAGTATATATCATATTATATACTGTATATACCGTATTAGTTGTAATTATTGCTATTTTGCAAAAAACTGAAGCATAATACAGAATAAATATTAAATTCACACAGTATTACCGTATTCCCGCGCAAACACCGGCATGCCGTTATAAGTGAGGCTGATCATTTTCACAAAAATTCCTTTATGATACCCTACCGGCATGCCGTTATAAAGTGAGGGAAAATAAATAGTCCAAAAAATATTTTTATTGAAAAAATTCAAAATTAATAGATTTAATTTATAAAAATAAATAATTAATTGTTTAATCAGTTATTTCTGTCACATCTTCAACGTCGTCGTCTTCTTCATCATCAGTAAGTCCCGAATGTTCCGAGTCTTCAATTGTATTATTGGTTTCAATGAGTGATTGAAGTTTTGAATGTAGATTATTGTGTAGTCTGTTTTTATTAAAACCACAACCAATAAATGAAGTTTTAATTAAATCTTCAGATATATTACTCCACGAGCTTAAAACCCAATTGGCAACCATTTCATAGCTCGCCCGGCGCCTCTTGCCGGTGCTTGTGTACTCCTGTTCACCTGTAAAAAAATAATTAAGATATCCTAGCCACTAGACCACGTCGGAAATACCTTCAGTGAGCCAACGGTTCCACTGTTCTTTGAGATGACTTTTAAAAGATTTATTAATGTTTACATCAAGCGGTTGTATAATCGATGTTAATCCGCCAGGAATAATACAAAGACTAGTATTAGACCATCTCTTAAACGAAGACTTTATTGTTTTCTCTTTGTGTGACGTAGCAGAGTCCAACATAATTACCGAAGGTCCCGAAAAGAGATGATTACCGGCTATTGATTACAAAAGCATGTTATCAATATCCTAGCCACTAAACCGCGTCGGAAACTTACGTCTCTTTTGCCAAACTTCGGATCTATACTTGTTCATCAAATCTGTATTCATTGATCCTTTAGAAGCAACGGTAATATGAACGTCCTTTGAGAAGTTGCCTTTTGGGACTTTCTTTAAGTTCTTGAATGTTATCATTGGTTTAGCTTTTCTACCGTCAGACATCATATTCAACACAACAGTAAATCTCATCTTTTGATAACCTAAGTTAATAGAATAAAATTAGATTATATGATATCCTAGCCACTAGACCACGTCGGAAATACCTGTTGTTTTGCTTCGGACTGTTTTGATGCCTTTCAAATCATAAGTCCTATTAGAGGGCATGTCAAAATACTGGGGTTTCATCCATGTTTCCCAGTCCATAGCCCTCCTAAAAAATGGCATCAAAATAAGAGAATAGACCATTAATAAGCTC